AATATTAATGTATATTATATATATTAAATATTTATATATTTATTTATACATATTATAAATATTTTTATATATTTATATGAATATTATATATTATATAAATTATTTATAATATAACCTATATTATATATTATATATATATTATACATTTATATAAATGTACATTTATACATAATATATATATATATATTAATGTATATTTATAATATAAATTTATATTATGTATTATATATAATATAATACATTTATACATTTATATTAATATACATAATATTAATTTTATATTTATACATAATATTAATACATTTGTACATTTATATTAATTATATTAATACATTTATACTTAATATTAATATATATTAATAAAATTATAATTTTTACATTTATATAATATTCATTTGTAATTTATACATTTATTATAATATAGACTTATACATTTATAAATATATTTATATTATGTATTATATATAATATAATATATTTTTATATTTTTTTTATATAAATACATAAATATATTTATTTATAAATATTTATAAATGTATTATAAATGTATAAATGTATATTTTAATAAAAATATATAAATTATAATTGATAATTTATACATTTATATAATATTCATTTATAATTTATACATTTATAATAATATACACTTATACATTTATAAATATATTTATATTATGTATTATATATAATATAATAAATTTATAATACATTTATATATTTTTATATAAATATATAAATATATTTATTTATAAACATTTATAAATGTATTATAAATGCATAAATGTATATTTATATAAAAATATAAAAATTATAAATTATAAATTGTAATTTATACATTTATATAATATTCATTTATAATTTATAATTTATAATAATACACACTTATATATTTATAAATGTATTTATATTATATATTATATATATTATAATTCATTTATAATACATTTATATATTTTTTAGCGAATATATAAGTATATTTATTTATAAATATTTATAAATGTATTATAAATGTATAAATGTATATAAAAATAAAAATATAAAAATTATAAATTATAAAAATACCCAAAAATATGTTTTAAAAATACCTCTAAAAATAATCCAAAAAACATCTACAATAAAAGTTTTTCATATAGTTTTTGAAAAACAACTCCAAAAACAACTAATCCAAACGGACTTGTATTTCAAAAACAAAATGCTACAGTGCTGTTTTTGAAAAACAACCCCAAAAACAACTAATCCAAACAGAGCCTAAGTTGTATAAGAGGGTAGCAAGAGAGTTCATATTGATGAGAGGGCGTATTACTACAAAGTCTTTCAACTTTTTTTTTTTTTTAACAAGCACCCGACTTACAACTCAAGGAGAACAACTTAACAAAAAAAGAAATAAAATCTTTAGGTTTTCATTATTCGAGCTCAAACTATGATGTCCAATAAAGATATTAGGGCTTCGAACCTATTTGGGCTCGACATAAACTCACAATTAGTACATAATTATATGTAATATATTATATAACATTGTTGTACATTTAAATATAAATTATACATTGCATACGTTATAGTACATGTAATTATGTACATTATTATATACCGTATGTATTTTCACATTAAGTATTATCCAGGTTGGTATATTTTTTTTTTTTTAATCAACCTGCCTTCTATTCAAAAGTGAATGGAACGGTAGAGAAAAGAGATCAAAATTAATGAAAAATTTAAAATTTGCTAAAAAAAAAACCTATTATCTATTTATAAATTAGACAAATTAAAAAGATACAATGAGCACCAGAGTAATGGTGATGGAGCTTAACATGGACAACCTGAAACACATAAACAACCAAGCAGGAAATCAGCTCCAAACTGTTATCTGGTACGGGGTAACTAACTATATGCAACAGCTTTTGCTCTTTTAACTTCTTTATATAGTGGACTATATGTTCTCTCATACAAACATGAGAATTGATACGGATTAATTTTTTGCAATTTTTCCCTTCTGACGTACGAAATATCTTGTATACCTTGAGTTGAGATCGAGGAATGATGGTCCATTTGACATATCTTGCCATCTCTCTACCGACGAAATCACATTTGCGTAACGCAAAGCAAGCATTGAAACACGAGGCCAATTTTAGAAGCTTTTCCGGTTCCCGCATTATCACCTTGATTCAGTCGGCTGTGTTTAGATCGAGTGATTTTATGAAGGGAAAATGATCAGTTTCATTTTTTACATTTTACAAAAATATTCTTTCGTCCCTTACTTTTAAAACGAAGCAATTTCGTCCTTGACATTTAAAAATTGAATTTTTACATTCCTGAACCCAAATTTCAATCTGAATCAAACCACCAATCAACCTGATTCATTCAACGGACCGGCGGTTCAACCGGATTAAACCGGAAACCCGGCCGGTTTTGTGGGCTGACCGAGTTTGAGGAAAAAATATTTGTCCAAGCCTTTGCTTGGATTCGAACTTTCGACCTTCAACTTTGTTTGTGCGTAGCTCACCACCAGACCACTTTGTCATTTGTTCATTAATGGCCATTCTTATGCTATATGAATGTTTTGTTAATTTCATCTTTATTTTTTTTTAAACTCTTTCAAAAACAAATGTATTTGGAATCTTTTAATAAAACTTATGACCCTTATATTCTATAAATTATAAAATAGATTTCAAAAATAACATATTACATAATTTATTTTAAAGACAAATATTATTTTTTAAATATTTTTTTGCATTTAAAATTTGTAAATAATCTAGATAATTACAGTAAACATCTACACTTGAAGTTTGGTGGATTACTAATTAAATTTATGTTTTGCTGATTCTTATATGAATTAAATATTCTATAGCAAATTAAATTAAATGAATATTTGTTATGACATTATTTATTACAATTTATCTCATATATCCTATATCAAATTTATAAAATATAATATTTAAATATATGTAGTGACCCACTGGTTCAACCACTCACCCACCGGTTGAACCAGTGACCCGTTGACCCACCTCCTTCGCCGGTCTCCTCTCCGGGCCGAGTTTAATAACTATGACCTGATTACAAATTTTGGGGGTGTAATTAGTAGATCACTTGGTTAACTCAACTTGATATTCATGTAAAATTTAATGAACCCAAAAAGAAAAAATAAAAATTATAACATAAAAAAGAAAGATTAATCTTTCCTACATTATCATTGTATACACTGATGGTTTTATGTACCGCCATATCATTTCAATTTAAATTTAAACACCAAATTTTATATTTATGATACACATCTAGATTCGCAAGCGGATATGCTAACGGTATATGAAAATATTTACCCAAAAAGAAAATCCTACTATTCCAAGAAAAGAATGGCCTTTTATGTTATAATTTTTTTTTAGTTTAATAAATGTCATGTGAATATGATGAAATTGGCCGAGTGCTCTATCAATTCTATTTCCGAAATTTATTACTGAATTATTGAATGGTTTGATTTAGATTGAAAATTAGGTTCAGGGATGTAATAGGTTTAATTTTTAAATGTCAGGGACAAATTTGCTTCATTTTGAAAGTGAGGAACGAAAAGAATATTTTTGCGAAATGTAAGGAATGAAACATGCCATTTTCCTTTTTATGAACAATTTGAAATCTTTTTAAATTCTTCTAATTGTTTAGATTAATTGCGAGATATTTAAATTTATAAATCATTAATTATTTTAGTGTTTAGAATATATTTAAATTCAAATACCTTTTACCCGATCCAACTAATTAGAAGGAGTTGTGTGAATTTGAAATTTTCTCGAGAGAATTGAATTTATGGCTTTAAAACTGGACCACGCTCGGCCTAGTGTTAATTAGAGGTGGTGGAATTGATCCAGAATTAACAACCTGGGCAGAACCGTGCATGGGTGCCCAATCATGTACAATTGGGCCTTTAGACAAATTTCCATTTTTCTGGGCCCAGTGCCATGTGAGCTTCTCGTCGCCTAACTTGCATCACAGTAGACGTGTAGAAGTAATGATCTTGCCCTTTTTGTTTGGGTTATCTTTTTATTTCATTAGGTTGCGATTGGAATTTTACTTGTTTGATAACCTAATTCAACATTTAAATTTAATAAATTTAAATTTTAATATATTTACACGTATTTATTAACAAAAAAGAATATCTTAATCTTAATCTTAATTAATTAAGTAATTTTGAATTGTTTAGTCAAATCATACTAAAAAAAAGTGATAAATTATTCAATTATCACTTACTGCAAATGCAAGACTTATTACTTTTATTGTGTCAAAATAATTTTTTAGTGTACTTAACATATATTAACAAAAGAGCAAAGAAAACTATTGAAAATTGTGCTATAGTTTATATTTTTGTTCAAATAAATTGTATGTTCTCATATTAATATGTTATAATATTTTTATTTTTATTACGTGATTCATTCTTTATTTTTATTTTCAATGAAACTAAACCATACATATTACGAGTAAAATATAACATTTTAATGGCATCATTAATAAATCAACATAAGGATAAAATTATATAATACAAAAAATCATTTAATATATTAAAAATTTAGTATGTAGTTGTTTATAATTATCCAATAGGCATATGCCTTGTTCTCGTTTGCGTTAGATTTTTGCAAAATCTAACTATGGAAAGTGATTATGAAGAATTATCAGAATCAACAAAAGTTATTCTTTGAGTGATTATGAATTTTAGTCCTTTTAGTTATTAAAAAATCTATAATTTAAATACAAAAACATACGAGAATATCTCAAAACTAATTAATCATAATCAAAATCTATAATTAGTTAACATAATCAATTGAGAACAAGCCTATAATGTATTCATTGTTCAAATTCAAATTAAGGCAATAATTTGCAATATATATATATTATTTATCAATTTAATAATTTGATGGAATATTTCTGAAATTCAAAATGTTTTTTTTTTCTTTTTTAAGAATGCAAAATTGGGATGATGATTTTGCCCTCACTAGAAACGGCAAAAGCCCCAAACTGTCCCCATGGTTACCATCTTCCCCATGCCCTTCCCCTCCAAGTGTGTCAACAACCTCTCTTTCCTCACTAACATCTCCAGTCCTTTTAAGGCTTGTCGATCTCTCCTTCCTCCCATTTCTCTACTCTAGCGTCTTTGAGCTCTCCCCTTTCCGGACTTTAAAATCCCTGGCGCCTCCAACCCCTCATCACCCTCCCCCCAGTCCCTGGCACCCCTAGTCTCCTCATACTCTTCCCCCTTCTTCATCAACCCATCTGCCCCCAAAATCCTTAATCTCCAAAAACTGGTGAGTGAATTATTCAGTTGAATTTTCAGTTTTTTTTAGCAAAGATGTTTTTTTTGTACAGTGGGTTTCGGTTTTCACATTGGTTTGTAGAGTAATTTATTGTTATTTGGTGGTGGTTGTGGCTATAATGGTAAAACCCGTGATTTTGACTGAGGAAAGGAAATAGTACAAAAAAAAAAAAAAATAGGAAGAAACATTATTGTTAAGTGAAAGAAAGGGGAAGGCCGAGCAAGAAAGCATGAAGGATATAACTTTGGTAGCACTTTTGTCATAGGATTGTAATAGTCAATTAAGTTAATAGCAATTGGCCAGATTACTTGATCTTGTGTAATGTGACAAAAAAAATTGAATGTTTAAGATGGTATGGAACTGAAATCCTTAGTTTAAGGGGCATATCACGGTCCAATGATTTATGGGGTATTTTGCATTTAACCCATTTTCTTTGGTATGTTATCTTTCTTTTCCATTCTTTTCTTTTTCAAGTTACTATTACTTGATGGAGATAGTATTTTGTGGGTTCAATAGGATTATTCTTCGTCAAGTCTTTTAGGTTTGGAATTCTCAAGTACATATTCAGATTTCATTTTTTGTGGGAATCTTTGGCTGTTGTTTATGAATTTCTTTAATTTTAAGTGGTTTGAGCTAGTTCATAGAATTCTTGCCCATTTAGTAAATATAAAGAAGAGAAATGATGAAATGGCTAAGTTTTCATTCTTGTTTATGTTTTTTTTCCTTAGCAACCGCAATACATTAAATTAATTTAATTGTTGTAGTTAGGCAAGTTTGACTATACTTAAAATGGTTCTAAGGGTTTGGATGTTAGGGTTGTTTTTGGAGTTTACATTTTCGGGGTATTTCATTTTGTAGATTTTCCTCTCTTTTTTTTTTCCTTGAAGGTATATATCAGGTTTCGAGCTGTGAATTTCATGGAGTTTTATTGCAACAATCAGGAGTAAAAGTGCTATGTAGATTTCCAAATTTTAGAATATTTTATATGTTTTTTCTAGGTAGCTTATGGAGGTCAAAATAATAACAACTTGAGGTTTGGATTTATGCATCAAACTCGGGAATGTTTGATTTATGCATCTGACTGGTACTTCTACAATTGGAGACTGTAAAGTGTTACTAATCCCGAAGTTTTTGTCATTTTTTTTAATTATATATTCTCAAGTCACATTTGAAGCAGCCATTCTTTTTCCTATGTGATGTTCTTGTTATGTTATTTAGCTTTTCTTTTGAAAATTCTTGTACTTATTGTGAAAATGATTGTATAAGTTATTTTTTTGCTTGTAAAAGGTTTATATATTAAATTTTATTTCTACGTACTTGATGATAAAATTTTTCGCTATTTGTTTTTGTGCTCTATTGGCTTTAATTAATCAAAGATACTCCTAAATGGTTGGTGTATTCTTTGTCATCCTTTTTGTGCTTTGAAGGATTGAAACTTATAGTGTCTATGGTATTGCTGCAGACCAAGTAGACCTTACATTGGAAGGACCCATCTATCGGCAGGTTGAAGTTAAATGGGGTCTTCAGAAGGCATACAAGCAGCAGCTAGAGTGTACAGAAACCTTCTTAAAGCAGTAAGAAAGCATATAGGTAAGGAAGAGCAAAAGGCCCAATTCTCTGACTTCATTAAGCAGGAGTTCAGGAATAGCAGCAGTGGACAACAGTCCGTGGATCCCTCTTTCATTCAGCAAAAGATAAAGCTTGCCCATGATTACACTTTCCTTCTGAACAGTGTCCACCATCATAAGGTAGTCATCTATTAATCATTTGATATAATGGGTATGCATCTACATGGATAATGATGTGGTCTGGATATTGTTTGTGCACCTTAGCCCTGTGGAACATCTTTAGTTGCACAATTTCAAAAAGGACAAGGTTTTATTTGTGTGGAAATGTGATGTTCAACTGACTTGGATTTTAGTGGATGGCAGAAGGTAGTAAGTAGTCTGGGTTTGGATATTTTTTTCATAATGGTTATATGTTATGCTAGAAATTTCAAGCTTTTTTTCTGCTTACCTGGTGCTTGATTACTGTTATATTTGTTCTCTGGTAGCAGACTCAGAAATTGTTCTTGTAATATAACTGTAGTCTATCTTGGCAATTTTAAGAAGCCTTAGAAAAGAAGGCAAAGCAACTCTTGCTGGCTGACGAATAAACCAAGATTTATAATTGATGTTTGTAATTTTTTATAATTTTGATGAAGTAAAAGATGGACTCATGAAGAAAGATGGAATCTTGAAATGTTGGATCGATGATGCTTTGATTTCATTAAAAATTCTTAAGCTATCAGGTGACTTTTGATTTCTTGTATCGATGTCATAATGGTCTGGGTCATTAAAATATCAATGGTCTATCTGCCAGGGTTCACTGTTGATAGATTGTTTGCCTCTCTTAGCCCCTGATGTATCCTGATGGATGAGGATATGTGCTTGCTCTTGGTATATGATCTGTGGCTGATTTTGTTTTTTGATTGTGCAGGACTTGCTATTTTCCTATAATATTGCAGTTGACAGATCAGATGAGATGAAAAAAATTCTTGGGAAATCTGCTGCTAGTGTGGGTCTTCAACTTCCTGATGTCTATCAACCTTAATGGTAAGATCTCATCTTATCATCTTGGAGATGCTTTTGCTGTGTTTAATGTTTAATTGGTTGTTAAGATCTTGTCTTATTTGTATTATTTCTAATTATCTCTTAGATGTTTTCTTTGTGGCCTGCATGTTCCATAAGTATGGGTATTAAAGCTAATTTAGACTGAGAAGTTGATGTCTGGGATTTGCTGTTCCTTGTTTGTCATCATCATCTTCTTATTCTTATTTTTCCCCCTCTCTTGGTTTTCCTTCCCTTGCTTTCCTTTCTCAGTATTGTTGGTTGGTTTCAGAAATGGCTATACTTTCAAAGCAATTTGAGTTAAAAAATCATTTGGACATGGCATTTGAGCGCAAAGTATGCTTGATAACCTCACTGGATCTGATGTACAGCTTCTAAACAAACTTTACAATCAATTATCTGTTTTTGATTTTTAATGTTATTTTGCTTTTCGAGATAGAATTCTATCTTCAGCTGCTTTCCCTGACATTTTAGGGCCAGTTTTACCTATTGAAGTTTGGTTTCTCCGGAAGCATGCAATAGTTTAAGAGGTTTGGTTCGGTGGAAGTTTCAGGAAGACAATTCTGTCATTTATTCAAGAACTGAGAAGTAGATATACCCATGGTCAAGGTCCTTGTTCCCTCATCTTGGTACGGGAGTTCAACTTTCACTGACACACCCCTGCTCTTGGATTTCAGAAAGGCTTTACTTAGTTTTGAACAGAAAATCTCTGATGTCATAAAGGAGAGAACCTTTTTGTGCAGACAAAGTACAGGATTTGCTTCTTGAAAACTTTGAAACCTTAGAATTATTTATCTTGATTAAAGCAAACCTCCCTTACTTCTTTTGGCTCTTCAAGTTTTGAAGAGATGAACACATAAGCGAGCTGGAAGCTGTTCAAGCCTAAGACATGAATTGATTGGGAGGATATATGAAATAGTTAATGATATTATCTACAGTGTCATGACCCTTGCAAGCGAGATATTTTTAGGTACAAGTATCCCATAAAAGCACTTTCAAGCATGGTTTAGCAATGATTGGGAGGGTATATGTAGGAGGATTTGCATGAAATTTTACCCAACTCCATATCTGGAATAGAATATATGAAATACGTATGAACACAGAAAAAATTATACAGTGTCATCAGCCTTGCAAGAGAGACTAATTTAGGTATCATTAATTCCCACAGGCACTATAAAGATATGTTACTTAATTGTAATTCTACAGAAAGGTGCTGTAAAAGTCTAATTTCATTTAAAGATTTTCCTTGGATGCACTAGCAAAAAGAAAAGCTTTGTAACAGTGGACACTGGAATGAAATGACAGTTTCTCGTACTCGTAGTTGTCAAAATTGTTTGTTTATTTAGCATTTTGATTAACCACCATTAAAAGAAAAAAGATTCAGATTTTGGTTTTACTTATCGTTCTCATTTCCCGAACTCCCTAATCCAAATATAACTGCTCAGGACTATTTCTTTCAGACATGACATGCGAGGATACAAAAGGAAAATTGAGCATATATTGAAAACTGTAGTGTCTAGAAACTAAAATGTACATTTGCAATCAAATACAGGTACTAGAGCTCTCAAAAATCCTCCTGCAAGAACACTTATTTGCCAAGTAACAAGATTCAGAAGCACAAAATAATCATTCTTGCACACTGTTAACTGTTAAACTAATGAGAAGCTAAGATTAGCTCACCCAAACTAATGTAGTTTGGGTCATCTGGACAGAAACCAAAAATATATACTTTGGCTTAACATAGACCAGAAACATAGAACAAACATTTAACATTGTATCTTAAATAAGCCGTATGCCAATATATCCATTTTCAGGCAGGAACTGCCTTGAAAATGTAACCTGCCTAAAAAGATAGGTAGTCCCTTGCAGCAAAGTATGAAATTCATGGCAATCCAGTGTGAATTGCATATTTCCACTATTTATTGCAGAGAGAATCAACTACCTCTGGATTGTTCAATCAATCAGTAGGTATTTGTTGAATGAGGAGTCCAGAGTGTTTAGTACTTGGCACTTGGTAGGGGAATTAAACCAATACAGCACACCCTCTCAAAAGAGCTTTACAAATTGTGCATTTTCCTCTGACATTCTTGTGGGTGTGGGGCAAGTATAGTTGAGGTTTTTGTGTGGCTGTTCGGTTGTTGTATATTTTACATGATTTGGTGTACATTAACATAGATATATTGTACGTAAAATCAGTATATGAACACAACTACGTCAATACACGTATTCCAACTTCTAAAAGAAATCAACCAAATCTTAATTGCATCTGCCCCAATATTGAATGCCTTGTGAACAAAGTAGATCCAAATAGATTATCCAAAATTAGCAACTAGACTATGCTTCTTGCTTTGATTCATAAGAAGATATAATGGTGTAATGAAACAGATTCAAATATCCTGTAATGGGTTTTGAGCAATATCACAAGATCTCTTGTGCAGAATCTCACAACAGAGATCACAATAACCACAAACTGATTTGAGACAGTCATAAGAAAGAGAGAAATGACTAAAAATATGGATTAGTGATCAGATAATTTTGTCGTTGAAGAAACAAAGGTTTCGTTATCAACAACAAGAATCTCATCAGGCTTGATGCTTCTTCCCTTGAGGAAATTGGAGTACCAATGTGCAGAGAGCTTTGGGTATCTTCTCAATTGCTTGTCATCCAAATCAACGTAGTACAGGCCATAACCAGTCTGATAGCCACCCAGTAACTCAAAAACATCTAAGAAAGACCATACGAAGTAGCCTTTGGTGTTTGATCCATTTCTTCCAATATTTCAAGGTGAAAGAACAGAACAGGTCAGCAAAGCGAAGTAGTGAAATTGCAAGAAAGAGTCATTTATGCAGTAAGATGCAAAGCAGTAGACAGAACATGCAAAAAAAACACACAAGTAGATGTGACATATGTGTGGATGCTTACTTTATAGCATCGAGCAAAGTCCCGATACATAAACGCATATATTGCACCCTTGCTGTGTCGATTAGTGTTTCATTGCGCTTGGTTGCTACACCTATCAAAACCAGTCATCCAAAGAGATTCTAAAACTGTTTTGCGATCGTGGTTAAAAAGAATCAGAGAGAAAGAAACACAAGCTATATATGTTCAAACATCTACTGATAATAATTTGATCAGGAGAAAGTTACAAATTAAAGCAGAGCTCACCAGCAAAGGAAAAAAAATGCATTGCATGTTTGGTAGCTGAACCTTATAGAGTTGGCAGTTGCAACCATGCTTTACATATTCCGAAAGGAAATGAAATTTCTCAAGCATCATAGTTGATGGGTTTTTTTTTTTTCGGGCTAGTTGATGTTGTTTGATTAGGTTGGCAGATTTCTTGTTAAAGTTATTGCTTCATTCGTCATTCTTCATTTAAAAGAAAAAAAAGATGCAGTACCATGTTAAGAATTTAATTGAATCAGGACATTGGTACCACGCAAAGTAGCAGAGACAAATATGCTGAAACTGTGTATATGTCTGTTTGTGTGTTGTGTGTGTGTGTGTAAGAGAGAGAGAGAGAGAGAGAGAGAGAGAGAGAGAGAACCATTTTCTTGGACGTAAATAGGTGGATTGGCATAAACTTTCTTGACATACTCCAAAAGTGCAAGAAGACCGGATGCTTCAACTTCATTCTGTGCCAAACAAGATGGTTAATAATAGTGATCGAAAATGATGGACAGAATATCATGAAATTAAATTCTTAACCTCACCTCATTCTGTGGTGCATCTTCTGGCTCAACTGAAGAAACCAAAAAAGGATACAGAAATTAGTTCAACTCAATCACAAAATCTATAGGACCAAAAAAGTCATCACAGAGATTTAGATTTTGAGAAATTAAGCATTACAGAGTACTGACACTTGAGATGAAACTAAGGCTGTACACAAGTTCTCAAGAACTAAGTAACAGAGAACAAACATGATGGCTTAGCAAAAGGATGTGACTAGATGATTCACTAGGCTGTATGGAATTCAATGAGCAAAAAGTATTTCAAGCTCACAATAAATGAATACATACACGAGATGTTTAGTGCCATATCAGCAGTTATGTCCCTGATATTCATATTAAGGCTGCTAGGATTGTCCCTGACATAGAATATGAAATAGTAATTCAACGCTATAAAGTCAAATGAGCCCTTAATTAGCTTAGATTCACGCGGAGTAAGTGCTGGAATCCTCTTGCCAGCATTCTTCTTCACAATGTCAGGATAGTCTCCGAAAACCAACGGATGAAGGAACCTGCAGTGGAATAGTGTATAAACCATAATATAAGCTCATCTTTTTGCTTCAAGTTGCAAAGCTAAGAAAGCATCTTGCTATTTGTTAGGGATGATGATATGCAATGGTACTTATCCACCAAAACTTCATAACTCACCAACCGAGGTAAAAATCAATGGCTCTTTGAGTTGCAATTACATCTTCTGTAGCATTAGAATATGGAGAAAACCAAGGAGCCAAGAGGTTTAGTCCCACAAAACCATGTTGAATGGCCTGCAAACGGGCATAAATTTCTGTTATTCAACTTACTTGCCATAATGTTTCGCAGATATTAAGATCAATAAATGGAACTACCAACGAGAATTTCAAAGAGAAATGTCAATGCCTTATCATCCTATTCTTGTTTAGCAGAAGAAAGGTGGGAACTCATTGGTCAGGTTGCACCGTACCCGGAAAGAATGACAGAAGGGGGCTTACCCATAGGATTGCCTTTCCGTTCCTGACTATATACTATGCTATCTTTTGTCAATCCCTAGTGGCAACCTGTGGAGTACTTAATCTATAGTCCAAACATATTCTTCTGTTCTTTCAGTAAAATCCCGTGCTGAACTAGTTTTTTTTTTTTCCTACGAGAATGTGCAAACAGACTGAACATTGACATTCCAACTTAAAGTAAACTGTTATATGCATAATTAAAATCAAAATAGGTCACAGATATATTTGGAACTGCAACTCTTCCAAAGCAAATGACTAGATAAGATTCAGATTGCAGCCCAAGTGACTCAAAATAGCTAAGAGACAAGGATTGTACTATGTGATACAACTATATACTATGAGAAGTACTATAAATGGGTTAGATAAAGCGTCAATATGGACAATTAAACTAGAAAAGCAAATACCAGGTGCAACCCCAGTTAGTAGTTCTTCCATCTATGACTACTAGACAGGATTCGCAGAGTCACCTCGGTTCGTCCAGAGATGTATGTGGTCGGACTATGAAGTTTTGAAAAACCAAGAGTTCACTAACTCTGGTGCCAAATTAAATTTTCATCATTGTAGTGGCACTATCAAGACGCAAAACACCAGATTATGTGAGAAAATTATGAAATAAGATCTCATAGTAGTACCTTATACTTTGTGTGATATAGTTTCACAACAGATGAATGTGCCAGCAACAAGTTATGACCAGCAATATATGGCTCAGTTGAGGAATTACCCTCAGTGCACATCAGTCCAAATGGCAGAGAGCAGCGCCCTGGGGGACTAATTCCATTATCATAACCGCCAATGGCAAATATATTGGCCTCATTTAAGGTAGTCCAATGCAAAACCCTGTCTCCAAATTCCTTGAAGCATACATCAGCAAAGGCAGTAAAGTCTCTCCTGAAGTCACGGATGAATGATTCTTTAAATTTAATCATGTAATAACTATATATACTTCACAGTGGAAACCATGTATTGAACAAGCTTAAGTATGAATGGATCAAAATAACAGCTATCAAATGCTTACACCATTTTCCGACTAAGCCATCCCCCATATTCATCTTCAAGAACTTGAGGGCTATCAAAGTGAAACAGTGTGACATGTGGTTGAATTCCTGTGTGTCATCAGACAGCAAAAGTGTTAAAAACATATATGTGTTGAGATGAAAAGAAACATGGATAGATCGATTGACAAAAGCATTTTGGACGTTTAAATGTCCATGCTTTTGTGAGATAGATGTTTGATCTGATATTATCACATTTAGGCAAGATTTCACACTCACAAATTGCCTATCAAGTGCATAGTTATTGAACAGAGAAAGCTTACCATGCATGAGGAGTTCATTGATGAGATTGTTGTAATATTCTAAACCCTTGGGGTTGACATGACCTCTTCCATCTGAAAAGATAAAAAAGGAAACCAAGTATGAGGAGAAAGGAATAAAATGTGCAATGGTCACATGTAGGTAATATAATACAACTAAACGTACTAGGAATAAGTCTTGGCCAGGAAATAGAGAATCTGTAAGCCTCCAAACCTGTGTCTACCATGCGTTGGACATCCTCCTGAAACAGATAAATTTCTTAAAGTGAACTGCGTCCTAATTTAACAAGA